TCATAATTCTACTAAAATACTGCTGACATGTGAGAAATGAACAAACCTCATGTGTTCTTCTCTGATCAAGATACAAACAGTTGGTCTTCCTGACATTCTCCAGTATCTGCCTACAAAGTGAAGCTCATTCTGAAATAAAGTTTAGAATAGAAATCTAATGAAAACAATAATATGTTTTTTTATAAGTTCAATGATATGTAAACATAAATATTACAGATTAATATAACATATTAGTTGGCAAAGGTATTATTTAACAGTTACATTACTTGAAAGTTTTTAGCTTCTAACAAAGAATAAAAGGTAGTATACAATCTTTAATATGCAGAAACATATGAAAGGTGTAAGGTTCACAATTTGCAAGATATGGTATACCTTTTCTCAACTAGACAAAGATCCTTAAAGTGACAATTTTAACCTAATTTTATAACACATTTTTCTCAAAATCTGTGAAATGACATTCTCATAGTGGTTTTTAAGTCATAACTTCAGATCTGTTGATGCTATAGACTTCACAATTTTCATAAATATGCATTATTAGTGTATCTATAGTGAGTACTTAGGTAAAGTTGATAAGAGGTTTGGTTTCATTAAATGAACTAACGATTCGCTGTAGCATATGCCCAATTTAGGGCATAGTCATTAGTGCCATAATTTGACCTTGAATTCATTTTTAGTTTTCTTTAGATCAGATTAATTCTTCACATCCCATCAAAGTCTGGACCTATTTTCATGAGCATTCAGTAATATTTGTAGAAGTTATCATGAACATAAGACATTTCTTTTGTAGTTCTTTATTTTTATAGTATGCAAATTAGCCACAGTGGTAATTTACACAACATATGCCAGAATATGTCTTTGTATCTATCTCAATATATTTTCACACAACAAGCATAGATGTTTTGTCTGATAAAAAGGCCAAAGTTATAGTTTTCCTATACTGAAAATATATTTCTGATAGTTACTTACCTCCAGTCATATAAATATCTATCCTTGTTCATTTTTGCCTTCTATGTGGAAATATGTTTTCACATGCCTAAAGCTTTGAGCTCCCTCGTATTTTACAATCAAATGGTTCAACTGTGTCTCATATGTAAATCATCATGCAACAACCCTCCACCAATAGGAGTGCAACACACTCTTGTGACACATGTGACTCCCTTTATTCCATTCTACCAAATTATCACTTTGGGCTTTGGCAGAAAATGGAAGCACTGGTTTTCAGTGGGGAGGAAAGGTAGGAAGTGTGAGGGGAATTAAATACCCATTAAAAATATATTTTCATTATAGGAAAATTATAACTTCTGATACGGTACATTACCTCCTCTCACATAAATAGCTAGAATCCCACAATAAATAAGTGAAGGGACCAGTGAAGCATTCAGAGAACACCCTAAAAGAGTAGATCCTTGCATTAGAGGATCATACATGGGAGACTGCACCACTTCTCTACCAGGTATACTCTTTGCCCAGTGTGGAAAGAGGTGTCACAGATATGGACAGAAAATGGGAAAAACAGAGAAGCATTCCTCGAAAGCATCCAAAGAACACCCTAAAAAAGTAGATCCTCACAGAGGAGGATCATATGTGGGAAACCGCACCACTTCTCTACCAGGTATACTCTTCACCCACTATTGAAAGATATAGGCAGAAAATGGGAGGAGCACATCCAAATGGGAGAGAACAATGGTTGAATAGGGATCCAAAGCACAATACATCAGAATTTCAATCCCATAGAGTACATTAATGTGGGTGAGATTAAAAGGATGTGCCTCTAGTTATAGAGTGGCTAGGGTGCAATGGACCGTACACGGCAAATCAACTGCATCCAAAACCCAGCCACCAAGAACCGACATTCAAGTGGGGGTAGGATTAGGATCATACTATTGGTAAGTCAACTACAATCCAAAACCCAGTCACCAGGAAATGACATCCATGTGGGGGTAGGAAAGAGTATCATACTGGCAGAAAGTCAACTACAATCAAAAATGCAGCCAGGGAACTAATATCCAGGTAGGAGTAGGAAAGAGGATCATACCGTCTTCACCTCAAGTTCAGCAGAATGGAGGAATCTTGTACTCTCCGATCTGTGAACGGGACACATGAGAGCAATGTGATAAATTATTTGACCAATCTGGACTATCAGTATAAAAAAGATGTCTCTGTAATGGAAACTAACCTACTCAAAACCATCCAACATGAACCGCCCTCAGCGCAATAACATTCTCCACATATGAAAATCATCAAGGGATAGCGCAAGAGGAAGAACCATATTAATCTGCAAGTTCGACCACCATGACCCACAACATGGATTTAGGGAACAAGATTATAATTGAGTGAGGAATAGAGACATCTATGATACATGTGTGACGACTTATGTTCATTGGTTCAGCTCTGAATCAAAAACCTAGCCACTGGGAACTGACATTCATGTGATGGTAGGATGTTGATGATGTGTTGAATAATACAACAAGAGGAACCCCTGGAGGTAGGAACAGGTAAGGGCTGGGAAGGAGTGAGACAGGAAACAGTAATAAAGGCTTGTCTAGGCTCTGAATGAGACAAACAATCCACCAAAGAAGAAATGGTCATTTATTGTCTCACCAATTCCACACGGGATTCCAAAGTCTAAATAATATTACCAAAAACATACCACTGTAGAAAAGGGGCCATATATAAATCTTTGACATAAGTTGGCAGTAAAAGAACCTGGGACAAAACAATGTCCCTCCCCAGGAGATCCCAACAACAGAAAAACCATGTGTGTGTAAGAAAAGAGTCAAAAAGGCAAGCGTTCCAACTTGGAGGTAATCAAGGAGAAAATATCCCTTGAAAAACCCTCAGGGTCTCAGTGGATTGCCTTGGAAAGGAGAAGAATGGGAGAGAAGTACCATAGGAGAGTTGACAGGGTAAGACAAAGGTGGGAAAGTTGGGCATGGGATAAATGAACAGGATGATCAGGGTCTGCCTCCCACATGAGCAAAATTGCTCTGCATGAACCCCAATATCCAGGAAAGGGGGGAACCAAAAACCAAGAGGAGGGGTATCATGTAACTAAAAATAAAGGGGATCAAATGAAATTGGCAAAATGGATAAAACAGAACATACCTTAGAAATCATGTGTAAAAGAGCCATATTAGGCCTAGCTGCTTCTGCAGTAGGAGCATAGGAAAACATGGCAAAATCACAAGGAGGAAAAAGTCTGTCAAAATCCTTGTTGACCCGAACCGGTTTAGCATGTTCAGGAGGAATAGGGACAACATCTGATGAGAGCTGATACGTCCATAGACAAGTTACCCCCACCTGTAGCCTGTGTGAATGTGCTAGTAGAAGGTACTACCTCAGAAGTGATACCTTGTACTTCGGGATTCATTATATAACAATGAGTAATCAAACACAGCCATTTAATGAAAAAAAAATTTGATAATTAGGAAAAATAATTTATCAGAAAATTTGTGAACTTTTGAAAAAAAAAAAGGAAAAAAACAAATTCACTTTGGAATGAATATTAAAAAATTAACAAAGTTGAATGAAAAAACACGATTGAAGAGCACAAAAACAAAACGTCTGGACATGAGTACTGTCAAATGAGAAGTGATAGTTCAGTAGAATAGAATACGTCAGGAGAGTGTGTTGCACTTCTATTGGTGGAGGGTTGTCACGTGATGATTTACATAAGAGACACAGTTGAACCATTTGATTGTAAGATACGAAGGAGCTCAAGGTTTGTGGACTGCAATAAATTTTTTTGCATATAGAAGGCAGCACTGTACAAGAATGGTTATTTATGTGAGCAGAGTTAATGTACCATATCAGAAATCAAGATAACTCTGTGTAAGGGGGTATATACTACATTAATGGACTGTATATGCTGTGTTATTTTATTCATTGAAGATCACATCCTAAAAAAAATATCAAATCTGATAAAATTCTCCATATTAAACTGTTATTCTATATCAGATTTTACTTATTTAATCTTTTATACCAAAGCTTTAGTTGGTTATTAATTAGCAATTATATCTTAAATGCTACAAGTTCTCCCAATTCATGGTCAGAATATTTCACTTTTAAAATAAATTTAAAACTCCACATACCACAGATTTGCCAGACTGCTACTTTGCACTAAACTTTAAATAGTTACTTTTAAACCTTTACATATCATTGACCTACCAGATAATTTTACATTAAATTTAAAGTACTTAATTTTAAACCATTACGTAACACAGATCTACCAGATTGTTATTTTACACTTAGTTTTAAGTACTTACTTTTAATTCCCCACATACTACAGATTTACTAGACTGCTATTTTACACTAAACTATAAATAGTTACTTTTAAACTCTTACATATCACTGACCTACCAGATAATTTCACATTAAACTACTTAAAACTTAATGTACCATTATCTGGTACAATGATTTGTGAGAGTTTAAAACTAAGTACTTAAATTTACTTTCAAACCCCTACATACTACAGCTCTACCAGATAGTTATTTTAGATTGAGTTTTAATTCATTACTTTTAAATCCCCACAGATCTACCAGATATTTTACACTGCATTTTAAGTACTTACTTTTAAATTCCAACATATCACAGAACTACCAGATTGTTATTTTACATATTATTGTTATTAAACTTAGTTTTAATTAACCACATATTACAGATCTATAAAACCATAATTTTACATTATATTTCAAATATACTGTTATGACAGCGGAAGTCACGTGATGCTTCTGGCGTGTGTGATGAGTTTATCGAACGATTGGGGAAGTCCGAGATGCCCTCTTCGTTAGTATATAAGCCTGGCAGAGAAAGCCAGCAGGGTTAATGAAGAGAGAGCAGTAGTTACTTTAAATTCCGTGTAATTTATGATTCTGCTAGTTTCGAGCTAGTGAGCCATAAAGTGTGCGTCTTGCACTCGTCAAAAGCAAAGTTATTGAGATTGTGAATCGCTGTGATTTATAGCTTGTATTATAAAAGTTGTTAAGTTTAAAGTGACAAGAAATGAACTGATTGTGGAACTTCTGTGTACTAAAATTTTGTATTGAGAAAGAATAAACTGGTTTAATCAAGAAAGGACTTGTATCGCTGAAGATCCTCAGAAAGAATTTCTACCGGAAACAAACAAACGAGCAGATATGCATCAATACTTATGTATCCTAGGTCTACCAGACTGTAGTTTGGTATTAAGTTTTAAATACTCACAGATCACAGAACTATCACACTTTACTTTAACATTAGTTTTAAATACTTTGATACCAATTAGATCTACAAATTTCTTATTATTATAAACTAAAAAAAATAATTAAAAATGCTTTTATTACAGTTTCAATAAACTTTTACTTACAGTTATAATAATTACATTCATTACAGAATTACTAAATTTAAAATAATTTTCTTGTTTGTTATTACAAATCTAATAGACTGTTGTTTTATATTTAATGTTTAAATAATTACTTTTACTACCTATCATATAGAAACATGGTTATTACTTTAAAATATTTCAACCTTATTAGATAACTATTAACTTACTTTAATGTCATCAATCAGAAGAGCCATGTCATGGGAAAGGTAAAAATCATTAACTTCAAAGATTAAAGGATAACACAATACTGTCTGTCCCAAAATACGGTACAGCTGTTGAAAAAACAAATTATAAATATATACACTTCTGCTGAAAATTGTATATGTAAATTTAAGGTGGAATAATGATTATCTGAGTAAAATTCTATTGTCAGTTTTGATGAATGTAAAATATTGTTTAACAATCTAAAGTAATTTTTTTATGAAGAAACAGAAACTTTCTTTATCAATTAATTCCTGTGACTCACTTCAAAATATTAACTCTCTCGCTACAGGCTTGATGGAATGGACAGTTTCCATACTATAACTATTAATACACTACGTGTATCTTCACAAATTTTTAAAATTTGACTGACTTTCAGTAAACATTACAAGTCTTTTGTACACAAAAAATCTGATTTTTTAATTAAAAATATATCAAATTGTTTTGTTGTCTAGTCCAAGTGCAAAGTGATTTTCATGTTAAGACTGAAAAAACTTTTATCAATCTGAACATTTTCAAATTTTATTTGTGTAATCACTTAAACTTCTAAGTAAATGTAAGACGTTTTTTCAGTAAAGCTTTATATTTTATGTTATTTTCACTACAGTAACTCTAAATGAAATAAATCTAAATCACCATTTTTTTTTCTGATATAAAACTGCATCTGTTTATCCTAAATAGCTTAACTCAAGTCAATTTTACCGACCATGTGAGCTCTTTATACTTGTTTGACCCTTTCGAGATGGATCATAGGTGAAAGGCCATGTCATCTTGTTTCTTGACTCGCATTCAAAATTTTATTGAATTACTATTTTATGAATTGATGTCAGTAACTTTGGTAATAAACTGAAGATTATAATTCAAATTTTAGAACTATACATTACTCAATTTCTTAATTAAAAACCAAAAAAAAACAGATAAACATCAATTTTTGTGCATCACGTGGGAAGGTGAATGCAGCACTGGTTCAAATTCGATGTTTGTGAAGTCAAAATACTAAGTCTATAGTTTCGTATGAATTAGAAACTCAAATTATAGATATTGACAAGATAGAATATATGATAAAAGTGTCTTATCTTTACTATTTGCTCAAGTAATAAATCAAACACAGTGGCACCCCACCCACCTCTTTCCATTTTTGGAAATGCTCCCTTATATAAACTTACTTCTATATATGACATGAATAACCAACTGGAAGCTCAGAATGTTCCCCTAGTGGTTTTCTCAGCCTTTATAATGTGGCCAGCACCATTTATTTATTTTGAACCAAGATTTCAATTAGGTAGGTTGTATCTTTAGTCTGCTCAGAATTTCGTATTTTGTTTAAGAGTAAAATACATCTTAGTTACTAAGCTTGATAAATTATAGTTCAATTCTATGGTACTGATGTAGTAATTTATTATTTTTTAGTTATTCAAATGTATATATAAAACCTGAAAAAATATATTTTCTTTCATATCCTCCACATGCAAAATATTTAAAGGCTTAGCAACCTACATCAAGCAGCAACCAAGTATAAAGGTCATAACTAGAAGAGATAATTGTTTGCTTTACTTCTTTATTTACTGTTCTATGTTTTAGGAAAAATATGTTTAAGAACTTATTTCAAAATAGCAATAAGCGATATACACATATAATGTATAATAATTGAAATGTGACTGTATTTTACAAATTACTAGTCTACTAAAACACAACCAAGGCCAAGACAGGTTACTTTGTACAGATCAAAGGTCAGTTTTATGGTATTTGATACGGTAACACGAGTATACATGAGCCGTGTCATTGTAGCTTCTGTATTGTTAGCCAGGCATGGCTGAAAGGACAATATATATAAATGTATAATGTTATGAGATTTAAGTTATTTAATCAAAACATTTATGTTTTCGTGTTATAATTTCTGAATGAGGCATAATTTATGTTTATTTCCTAATTTTTTTTGGTGGTTGCGAGATCATTCAAATCTACCAAATCCATACAGAGATTAACTACTGAAGATAACAGATAAAATATAAAGTTTTTCTTAAGAAAGATTTAATAACTATCTGGACATTATAAAGCTTTTGCATGTGAAATTTCAAAATTTTCTGATGCATAAAAGTATTTTTAATCTTAAAATAAAAATCCCTTTGCATGATAGATAGGCAAGATGTGAAAAGAAAAAAAAGGCATGAGAGAAACATTGCTTTACAAACATTAGGACTTAATAAAAAAAATTAGATATTTTGTGTATGAAAGCATTGTAATGTTTACTGATAATCTGCCAAATTTTGTTAACATTCACTTACTAATTTAAAAATTATAGCAAATAAATCTATAACAAGCACAAAATCGTTACAAGGTCATCACATTGACCAACCCTGTATTGAAAGAGTTAAAGTCTTTATAGATTTAATACTTCTAACTTTTAACACAGTGTGTATATCTTCACAAAATTTGCCAGTCTTTCAGTTTATGTTACGTCTTTCACATACAAAAAAACATATTTTTTAGTGAAGTATTTTTAATAAACTAAAATAAAGACTTGTTAATGAATATATTGAGTATTTGTTTTGAATAGTCCATGTAATAAGTAATTTTCATGTTAAGATTAAAAATACTTTTCTTCATCTCAAAAATCTCACACTTCCTTTGTTTAATCCCTAAAACCTCCTAAATACATTTCAAACGTTTTTTTTCAATAAAACTTTATATTTTATCTGTTATTTTCTCTACCTTATCTCTATATAAGGTTGGTCAATTGACCTTGAACCAACCAAAAAAAAAAATCTTAATTACCCTCTTTTTCTTTTGGGAATGACTCCTGGCTCTAACATGAAACTACATTTGTTTATCCTAAGTAGCTTTAAGCTTGTAACAGTATACATCTATTTATATTAAATTTTATTGTTTTGTTGCCCTTTCAACTGTGTCTAACTACTATAACTCGGGGAACATGCAGCTCATGTTACGCTATTAAATTACATTACCCATGAGCTGCCTGCATGCGTGCCTCGTGAAACATTTTTATTATATTATTATTTATTTTACCTAATTTAATATTAACTACGTTATAAAGATCCCTATTTTTACATTTAGATTACTTTTATAATAATAAATAAAGAATAAACATGAAAAACAAGAAATAAAGTATTACCCACTTTTTTTTTCTTGCTGTCAATTGTTGAAGGCACTTAACCCTACTTTTTTTTTTATACTAATGGTAGTAATGCACTGAATAATTATTATTTAATTAAATAATGAACCAAAGAACATAGAGTAACAATATGTAAAAAAGTAGACAATATCCCCTAACTTTCAAAAGACCCATTACAAATTCATCCAAGCTAGTCCTTAACTTTCTCATGGGAATGAAGCTTGTATTCTGAGTGAAATTGATGCTTATGTGTTCAGAACACAATGTTATACAATATGTCATTTGATAGATGAAAACCTTGACTTTCTATTCGTCATAAGTAATGTATAATTAAACATGAGAGAGAACTATTAACAAATCCTGAAAGAGATGTGACAGGTGGGTGTGGCAGGAGGGGTCTTATTTTCTACTTGATAGCTCTGTAAACAAAAAAGATTGCAGGCTATAAAAATTATGGTTTGTCTGAACAATGACAATTTTATAGGGAGTAATTTATGTTTAATTTTGTATTTTTGAAGGGGTGGTGGATAAAATAGAGAAGAGAATGTCATAGAGTACTAATATACTATTAAAATATGGATTATTAGCTAAGATTTTATGCTACACTAATTGGTATAACATAAAAAGTGATTTAATAAAATTTTGAATGTAAGACACTAAAACTTTGTTTCATGCGCAGTAAAAGATACCTGTGATGATAGAGTTAAATCTCATAACAATATGTAGCTTTTTATATTTAAATTTTATTGGCCTTTAAACTATGTACAACTAATAATCCCACTACATAAATTGTTAATCACTTAGCAAGTTTCTAATTATTACATTTTAGTAACGTTTATAATAATACATAAAGAATACACATGAAAAACAAGAAATATAGTACTTACCTGGATCTTTTTTTTTCTGTTGACTGTCGATGAAACTTAAGCCTACTATTTTATACTAATGGTACTACAGCACTGAATAATTTCTTATTTAATTAAAAAACACACCAAAGAACACAGAATTATAACAAGCAAAAAGCATATAATGTCCTATAACAATTACAAGTTTCTGATTTTCTAACTATGCATCAAGAGCCATTGAAAATTCAGTTAAGAACATTGATGTGTTTCCTGAGGGAATAGATTGAACTGGAAGGAAAATATACACATCTCTGTACAGAAAACAATGTAATATAATACATAATTTTATAGATTAAAACTTTGGCTTGTATTGCTTATAAACAGTCTAATATTAAATGTCACAAAGTAATATTGGTAATTTCTGAAAGAGAGGATGTGACACGTGAGTGTGGCAAGAGGGGTCTGATTTTCTACGTTATAGCTCTGTAACCAAATAAGATTGAAGGCTATAAAACTTATGCTTTGCCTGAGAAATGACAATATTATATAGAGTAATTTACATTATATTTCATACTTCTCTGAGGGGTGGTAAATAAATTACAGAAGAGGGGATACCTAGAGAACAAATTCACAATTCTTATACTAGGGGAAATTCTTTTAATGTTGCCTTATAAAATTAAAAACTTAAAATTTATATAACATTAAAACTTGGTTTATTAGCCACATTGTGATGGCAAGTTTATTTGTATATCATGATAATAAAGTACTTTAATAAAATTTTTAATGTAATTTAGCAAAACCTTCTGACATGTGCACAAAAGGATGCCTGCTGCAAAAGGGTTAAAGAGTATCACTAATTTTACATTAGGAAGGTTATAATAGAATGTAGAATGCAATAGGATGGTCTCTACAACAAAATTAGTAATAACTTGGAAATGTATTTACTTTACTAGTGCCTAGTGCTCCAATAGGCCTTGGTGGTCTTCCCTTTAAACTCAACTTCAGATTGACACCCAAAAACTGGTATATCTACAACAGCACAATTTTCTCTATATTATAAAACAGTTTTGAAAGTTAATGAAATAGAAATCAGTAGAGAAAATACTTCTTAGAATCCATTAATCACTTGTAATAAAATTGAAAACTTTTGATAATGACTACAACAGAAGAATGTGCATAGTTTGATGACACTTGACAATGAACAACAGAAGAGTACGTGTAACTAGACAACACTTATGAATGACAACAGAACAGTACATGTTACAGACGACAATGACAATAGAAGAGTATTTGTATCTAAAAGATAATAACAACAGTAGAAGAGTATGGGTAGCTAGACAACACTTGACAGCGACAACATGAGAATAGAATGTGTAGCTAGACAACACTTGACAGCGACAACATCAGAATAGTATGTGTAGCTAGACAACACTTGACAGTGACAACATGAGAATAGTATGTGTAGCTAGACAACACCTGACAGCGACAAAATCAGAAGAGTATGTGTAGCTAGACAACACTTGACAGCGACAAAATCAGAAGAGTATGCGTAGCTAGACAACATTTGACAGCAACAACAACATCAGAAGAGTATGCGTAGCTAGACAACACTTGACAGCGACAAAATCAGAAGAGTATGCGTAGCTAGACAACATTTGACAGCAACATCAGAAGAGTATGTGTAGCTAGACAACATTTGACAGCAACAACACGAGAATAGTACGTGCAATTACATGACATGATAATAACAAAACACAAGAGCATGTGTACTGACAAAGTGACATTTCACCTAATAAACCTTTAAAATCAATTCCTTTCATTTGATATTATATTCTTGTACCTGTTATATATTCTATTATATGTTTTGAAGCTTAGTACTAACTCATACTATATATTTTATTAATCAATTAATTTTTTGTCTTCTATGATTACTATTAACAAAAAAAAACATATCATATGCAAATACAGAAGTATCCATATCTGTGGTCACAACAGTAGTTAAGACAAAAAAAAGAATTTACATTTTCACAAATATTTAAATACAGTGTTTCTATTACATGGCTCAAAATATGAAGATACAGCCTTGGTAATTTATTTCTTTAAAATGTGATGTTAAAATTTCAGCCTTTAGCAAAACATTGTGTAATAAGAAATTCACCAACCTCACTGACTTACTACAACAAATAATATTTCAAACCAAATTAAGTTACTTTAACTAGCTGTCGTGGAGGCCAGATCTGCACAGGTTCCACTTCATGTGGTGTTTGGGTCTGTATTCCATAGGTGGCCATCATTGCTTGAAGTCTCATACTTTCAGCAATCAGGACCACCTGGACGACAAGGTCACTAGCTGTCCCCTGCTCCAAAGTATAAAAAAGAAAAAAACCTGATACAGGAAGTTTATACTTTATATGTGATAATACATCTTGTAGTTCATGTACATTTAGAATAAGCTTTCTTATTCTATCATTTCTCACACTATGCTTATCTAGAATGTAAGAAAAGTATATTAAAATAGCTATACTCATTACCAGGTAGATTTTTATTTTTGTTCTAAGTAAGTAGCTTGCTCTGATCTAAAGTTAACATTAGTGTTTAAAGTAGACTTTTCTAGAGATAAGAAACATTTCTACATTTACTAAAACCAAGAAAAAGTACTAAGCTAAATTAGTTGCAACACTTCATTATATCAAAGTTACACTATTTTCTTCACTAGCACGTATTTTTAAATTATATACTATATAAAAACTATTTACAATTAGGCTTACTTGTTACCTTAAAAAATTGTTTTTAAATAATTTAATAAATTTCTCTCAATAATGAATTGCTTCAGAAACAAAATTCTAAGTTAATTACTACACATGGATAATCCAGAAGTAAAGTGTTACCAACCATCAAATTACAATAGAATAGTAGTTCAATGTAAAGACATTATCATTTATCATGTTACAATAGAATAGTAGTTCAATGTAAAGACATTATCATTTATCATGTTACAATATATCAATAGTTCAATAGACATGAATTATCATTTATTACGTTAAAACAGATTAGTAGTTCAATGGACAAACATCACATTCCATCATATTACAACGGATTAGTAGTTAAACACACATTTCCATTCATCATGTTACAACACACTACTAGTTAAGCACACACATACACCATTCATCATGTTACAACATACCAATTGTTCTACAGACACATTATTATCCCTATGTATTTGTATCTTCGTTTCTAAGCATGAAGCTACATAATGGATTTCCTATGATGTGATCACATGGGTGTCAAAACCTAGCTTTTAGCATTAGAAGCCATCAGACTTACTGCTGAGTCACTTGTGGGCTCCATCATGTTAAAAAAGATTAGTAGTTCAATGGACACACATTACCATGCATCATGTTAGAACAAATTAGTGGTTAAATAGACACAAATTACCATTTATCATGTTAAAACGAATTAGAAGTTCCACAGACACATTATTATTCATCATGTTACAACAAATTAGTAGTCCAATGGGTCAGCAAACCAAAGAAAAACAATAAAGCCACTTATAATGGTGGTGTATGTATATAATATTTATGGAGCTTTTCAGTCCTTTTTGACTTACCACTTAGTAACTTAATGAAACGAAAGGAAATTGTAATATCACCAAACAGCTGGCCCATTATATAATACTGAACAATAAATTTGGCACAATGCTATAAAATTATTCAAATAACTAAGTTAATTTAAGTTATTAAATGGTGAGGTAAAAAAAAGCTTAAAACTTCATAAACATTACAAGTCTCGAAAAGTGTACACAGTATTGTTGCAATAAGTGACTGATACTGTTTCTCAATCTTAAACAATGCAGTTGCATGATATGTAGGATACATTTTTATGTACAAAATTTAGGATTAAGAAAGTAGCTTAATTACACATTATTGTGCCTCAAGTTTGAAGTTTGACTTTTCATATCTTGGTAAAAATTTTTCAGACACAAATTCTAAAGTAAGTTTTATAAGTTAATTTAACTATACTTCAACAATTCTAACTCCAAAACATTTTAGAATCAATACTTTGTCATTTTCTAACATTAACTTAGTGTAGTTCATGAAGAAATGAAAAAAATATTCATATTTTCATTTCTGCACAGCTGCAAAAGGTTTAGCCTGTAAACAAAACAATCTACTTGTCAACTTTTTTTTTATAGAATTTATATATCCATCCCAGAAAAAAACTTTATTTTTGCTAAAACCCTATAACCCCTTTAGAATATATATTATCTATATCTTGATTTTCAAGTGTTTCCCTTAGTTTTAAACATGCCTTAGCATGGGCATCTGCAGAAATTTTTCCAGGAGTGGGAGTAAAGTCAAAATCAAGGGTCGATGGACTTGCCTTCAAAATTTTGCCATTAAAGTCAAGAGAATCAGCAAGCTCCCACTGTCAGATTTGAGGGGTTTAATATTTGTAAGGTTAGTTTAAGCCATACTGCAGACTTGCATTTATATATATTCCATAGCAGCAAGTCTTGATTTGTTCTTTTAGATTCTTAACCCTATAGGGTAATTTTACCTTTCATAAAACAACTGCTTATATGAATACAGTAATTTGAAGTTACATAAAGCACAATATTTCAAGCATTTATTGTGTATGTATGGTAAGAACAACAAGATTGCATTAGTCTCTTTTTTTGATAACCTGCTACCAGTATTATTGAGAGGTGGCAACAGGCTGACTCTGATCACACTGTAACAGGGGATGTCAGCAAAACGACATCAGTCTATTCAATGACCCGAGTGAAAATTGTCATGTCCAATATACAAGAAGCTGCTGTGGTAGTAAAGTTTTTCAATATTTAGTTACAGATTTTAAGTAAAGCTGCTGAAAAACCTGGTAACTTTTATTAGAACGTAAACTTAAGTGTAATAAGTACTGCGAAATTATGAAGTGAATTAAAAACTTCTAAATTCATATACATATGCTGAATGCATAAAGAAAGAATTATGTTTCTTATTTTAAGGGGGGGGGGCTTTTTACTTACAATAAGAACGGCTTAAATTAATTCCCTTTGCTGCTTGGTCTGAACACCACAAGATAAATTTTCAGACTAAAGACAAAATTTAGTACTGAAAACAATGTAGCACTATATGTCATTTGATAGATTAAAATTTGGTCTTTCTGTTGGTTATAAATGATATAATATAAAATATCAGAAAGAATTATTGGCTATTTGTGAAAGAGAGAATGTGTCAGGTGGACATGGCAAGTGGGTTTGATTAAAATAATAAATTTTCTAGTTTATAACTTCATAAACAAATATGACTGAAGGATATAAAAATTAGATGCCCTGTTTCTGTATTGTGCTGGATGATAGTGGAGTTGGGAGGGTTTTAATCTTTTTTTCCAGATATGCCCATATGTTTAAGATGTTTGATTTCACCAACATAGGAGACCCTGCAGTCTTTACACATGACCGTTTTAGTGGAAAAAATTAGGTTTAAAAGTTTAAAAATAACTTTCAGGTCAATTTGAGGATAGTAAGTGTTATGTAATTTTTTCAATTGTTTCATGAACAGAGAGCTCTGTTTTTCAATATATGGTAAGCTGCAGGTGTATAAAAGAAGTTTGGGTATCTCAGGTGGCTTAACAAACACATTAGTTAAGAATGAGTAAGTTATTTTCTCCAAGAAATGCTTAGGAAAGCTGTTTCAAAAAAGAATGCTTTGTATGAAAGAAATTTCCTCATAAAGGGCTAGATAGGAAGAGACAAGATTATAATCCCTATTTAGTAGGCAAAGAATAAGATTGTGTTTTAAAGAAAAGGGTATAAAGCAGTCAAACTGAGTGAAAAGGCCAGTAAACGTGTTTTAAGATAGACAGAAGTTATAAAGCTGTTAGCATCATGAAGTTTGAACTTACTGCAGTTGTTAAGAATGTCAAGCATTTTCTTAACATAGTAAGCCTTGTTGAGGATAACAACTCTGTTTCCTTTGTCCTGTTGGGTGATGATATTTTTGTTGTGGTAGATTTCTTGTTAATCATAATACATGTTTTTTTATCAGCTAGTGTTTTCATGTTTATATGATGTCTCTAAAGGTAAAAACATTAAGATAAATACATTTTTCAAAATCAAAGTCACAAAAGGTCATGACATGCACACTCTGACCTACCCGTAGCAAGAGGGTTAACAGAGTAACAAACTAACAAATGTTGGAGAGGGTTTTTGTCATCATCAGTTACAAGTAGTTTACCTAGACACAGAAATATAATTACAGTATGAAACAAAAAAGTCACATGACTGGAGATGGCATAAAGCATAAGAAAGGTACTTTGTCGATGTTTGGTTTTCTTTTGAAATTATGGTGTTTATATTTTTTAATAGATATACTACAGTTTTAATGAGTTGCAATGTTTATAAACAAATCAAACAAGTTTACTGCTTAGTGAGTATGGTGAGCAAATGCAAAATATGTTTGAAGACTCATATCTATATTTTTATTATTTTTACACTTATCCTATTCAAACAATGTACAGAAAAGAATTCGCTAGCTGAATAATTAGTTACTTCATGATATGTTTAAATAAAAACATTACTCTTATTTGTGATAGCAAAACATGTTTTCATTATTTGATTTACAAAATGTTAGTGGAGGATTACTACTTACTTTAAAAACAAACATAATGGTAGATGGGTGTGTGAAACACGTGCATATGGAGACTAACAGAGGCAAAGTTATTACTATTATACCCAGAATGAAAATATCACTTGGAGTGGACTAAAATAATCCATTATAATTTTCTTTGCAACTTTCCTATTAGGGAGATCAAAGTTACGAAATAGTAGCTATATAAACCACATGTGAGTATAAACACATTACACCCTAACTGCATAGGCATCACTCTGGTGCACAGTTAGCCAGGATGTTTATCATATGGCTAGACTTTCTGCCAAGAGGATACAGAAAAAAATATCAAATCTCTGGAAAAGATTGAAACTGTACATATATGTTTGTCAAAAGAATTAATGACATCTCATTAACTTTTGGTAAAATGCAACAGAAAGTAAAGATAATGACTTTAATTAACATATGGTGGGTAAAAGTCTCATTTACATATAACCACGGTCTATGCAGGAGTAGCCTTGAACTGATTTAGTTTTAGCTAGCAAAGCGCTTTTTGTACAGAACACACAAACATGAGTTTTTGCAGAGTGAGTGTCATCCATTTGCTGCATTCCAATGATCTAGATAACATTCGAATATTTTAACTAAAAGCTTGGTTTAAAATTACAGTAGTCAGTCAGCATCGGAGAAAGATGTTGAAGCAGCCAGAGTGAGCCAGTACCTGAACGAGTGAGTGATACATCTATGAAACAGACAAGTAAACCACAGTTTACATAAGAAAATAGAAAGATTAATACCATGTTATAATAATGCAGTGCTTGAGAAAGTTATGAACCTGATACACCCCCTTTTTTTCATCATGTTACAACAGATTAGTATTTCAATGAAAAACACATTATCATTAATCATGTTACAACAGATTAGTGATTCAATGGAAACTCATTACCATTAATCATGTTACAACAGATTAGTATTTCAATGAAAACACATTATCATTAATCATGTTACAACAGATTAGTGATTCAATGGAAACTCATTACCATTAATCATGTTACAACAGATTAGTATTTCAATGAAAACACATTACCATTAATCATGTTACAACAGATCAGTGGTTCAATGGAAACTCAATACCATTTACCATGTTACAACAGATCAGTGGTTCAATGGAAACTCATTATCATTAATCATGTTACAACAGATCAGTGGTTCAATGGAAACTCATTATCATTAATCATGTTACAACAGATCAGTGGTTCAATGGAAACTCATTATCATTCATCATATTACAAGAGATTAGTAGTTCAACAGACACATACTATCATGCATCATATTACAACAGATTAGTAGTTCAACAGACACATACTATCATGCATCATATTACAAGAGATTAGTAGTTCAACAGATACATACTATCATGCATCATATTACAACAGATTAGTAGTTCAACAGACACATATTATCATGCATCATATTACAACAGATTAGTAGTTCAACAGACACATACTATCATTCATCATATTACAACAGATTAGTAGTTCAACAGATACATACTATCATGCATCATATTACAACAGATTAGTAGTTCAACAGACACATACTATCATGCATCATATTACAACAGATTAGTAGTTCAACAGACACATACTATCATGCATCATATTACAAGAGATTAGTAGTTCAACAGATACATACTATCATGCATCATATTACAAGAGATTAGTAGTTCAACAGACACATACTATCATGCATCATATTACAACAGATTAGTAGTTCAACAGACACATACTATCATGCATCATATTACAAGAGATTAGTAGTTCAACAGACACATACTATCATGCATCATATTACAACAGATTAGTAGTTCAACAGACACATACTATCATGCATCATATTACAAGAGATTAGTAGTTCAACAGATACATACTATCATGCATCATATTACAACAGATTAGTAGTTCAACAGACACATACTATCATGCATCATATTACAACAGATTAGTAGTTCAACAGATACATACTATCATGCATCATATTACAACAGATTAGTAGTTCAACAGACACGTACTATCATTCATCATATTACAATAGATTAGTAGTTCAACAGACACATACTATCATGCATCATATTACAAAAGATTAGTAGTTCAACAGACACATACTATCATGCATCATATAACAACAGATTAGTAGTTCAACAGACACACCCACTATCATTCATCATACACACATTGCCATCCATCATGTTACAACAGATTGGTAGCTAAATGGACACAAATTATCATCCACTGTTACAATATACTAGTAGTTCAATGGATACACATTATCATTTGTCATCTTAAGAAAACAAAAATCTGTAGATACAAGAATCATGCACAACTACTTCCAACAAATTATTTGAAATAAGTATATTTTCATATTAAGAAAATTATCTAGATCACCCAATCCTTAAACCATTTTATGAACTATGATTAGTGCACCAAAACAAAGGAAATGTTTTATCACTTTTAAGCATAATAAATATGTACTTAAAAGTTTTTTCCTATGTGTCATGATAATAGACTGATTATGAACTGTATAATCAACAAGGCATATTTTCAAATTTTGAAAAACAATCCTTTGTATTTTACATACTTCAAGTAAAATTGATAAATGCCAGATGCAATTACAATGGGTTTTATTATCTAATTACAAAGGTGAACGTTTTGTTTGAAGTTGGAACTTCATATGTAAAGTACATCAGCTTAATTAGGTTAAGTGACACAGCTACAGCATTCATTTATAAAATGGTTATACAGTTTAAGCTTAATAGTAAAAACTGCTGTATATTGACCAAGGTTCTACTGTTATTACTCAAGCATCTACTACTGTTCAACAAAAAATAATACTTACGGATGCTTTACCCTATGAATCAAAATAGAAGAGACAGTAGGATGAAAAAAAAAAGTTAGGTTAGTTAATATTCTGTTTTGGTTTGGTTTTAAAGTTACACAGTTCAAGAACTTATTTTAAATTAAGCTTTTGACTGAAATATGAACATTTCTACAATAGTCTCTAGAACATAAACCTTAGAAGCAAAAGGTTCTAACGTAATCCAAAAAAGATTTCCATGATAATGAAATAAATTTCCATGACTCCCATACCATATTTTTTTTTTTACTGACCAGCTTATTATTTTTTACTGTATTCTCAGAAAATAGCCATACTGTAACAGTTAATCTAGAAGAAATCATTAAAAATATCCATTCAGGAAGTCATCAACAATAAAACATCATTATAGAAATACTTGTTTAAAATATAAACATTTGTTAGAAATATTTTACTCACTGTAAAGGAATTAAATGTAGGTAGAGTAATAACTACTGCACTACCATTAAATGTAATTTTTCAGCCTTATGGAGCATTATATGAACAAGTTACAGGAAATTTTGAGTAAAACATTTTAAACAACCATGTCAGGAAATATATTAACAAAAAACAATGTTTTATGAAAGTCCTTTAAGCAGTTTTCTTTTTCAATAAATTATGCTGTTGAAAATGGCTTATATAGACGAAGTGTAGAAATTAAAACAAAAAAGGTGGGTGTATTACAGTGTTTTGTTCTAAACAGCAATACAGAGGCAGAGAGTTTAGTTTTAAGAACCTTCTGCACACTTTAACAAACCCTGAAGTGCTGAAGTACCCCTGTAGCACATTCCCATATCCCTGCCACTGTAGTGAACCAAAACTTTTTCATACTACCAAACGTTTTTGATTAGTAGTAAAAGAATATTCATTTTTGAATTCAGAGAGCTTATCCTCAATTTATTCTTAAAGTCCTGTAAACAATCTTCCTTCAGATGTGCAGTGCAGACTATTTGACTTGGTGACAAAAGTTGCTAGCTGATTCAGATCTTTCCACATTTTCATCTGATGACTGTATCAGTGCCTTCACATCAGCTTGTCCTCTCATTTTCTTCTTTTTAAAAATTTCAACCTCATCCATCAAAAATTTCATTTTATTGCTCAAGATTTCATTCTCTTTCAAAAAAGGTAGGCAGGATATTTTTATCTGGCTCCTGTAACCAACATCAAGAGCTCTTTTGTCATCTCTACATTTGTAAAACCTCTAACAACTTTAACACAATCGGTAATAATTCTCTGTGCCACCAGTGATTGCTCCTGGAGATTCTCCGCAACCAATTCTTTATTTACAGAAAAGCTTCTCTCAACACTAGCCTGACAATGTGACAGAAGAAGAAAGACTTTCACTTACACCTCCCAATTTTTTATAGATTGGCTTCAGGCCCATATGTTCATACAAAAAATTTCTGAAACCATCAGAATGCAATGAATAGTGTCAATACTCTTTGTATTCCACCTGCACATCATCAAAGACAGGCTACTTGATGTGGTTTGTAGCAACAAGTACATGCAGGATTCTCTTCTCTTCTGCACACATTCTTTCTTGTTGACCACCATCAATCATGGATCATGAAACTGCATATTTTGGACAAGGGGGATACTTGATATGAGCCTTCCTTAAATGTTTATTGACTAGTGTTACCAAAAAAACATTTACAGTCAACTTTTAGTTTCAACAGTTGTTTGTTTGTAATATTTTTAGCAAATTTCAGCTGACAAACAGCTACTTCTGCTAAGTCTTGTCTGTGAAGGCAATAAATATTAGGAAGCTTCAGTGTTGAAGTTCCTTTTTTTAAACTGTCTTCTTTTCTGAAGCCTTCCATCAAGTCTTAAAATAATAATAAAGAAAAACAAAATACTATTACAATAATCATAAATGTTTTTTTAGTAAAACTTTATATTACATGCGTTACTTATCCTAAAACTATACAGACTCAGCCAATTTAACTGATCTGGACCCATCACCAAAAAAATCTGCTCATTGCTGTTTACAATTGTTTTTATTTCATTTTATAGTTTTATTGCTCTTTGAACCATGTCTAACATATAATAACATGATACAATCTGTACAACATATGATGAATGCATAATTCAAGTTACAATATTGAATTACATAGCTCCTGAGCTACTTTCATGAATAAATTTTTTCATTATTTTCTTAACTTGTGATAATAGCAGTAGCACATAAAATAAGCACTTAAAAACATAAAATAATAACAAGCAAAAAAGCATACAATCTCCTATAAGTATCATAATTTAGCTGGCTTTATCACTAAGATATAAGTGCCTTAATATAATTCCCTTAGCTGATTGATTAGAACCCAGTGAGATCAACTTTGAATCTATAGAGGATATAACAAATAGTATCTCATCAAAATGGTTAAGAAATACACATCATTAAGTATATTAAATTTTTTTTTCTATTGGTTATAAATGATGTAATGGTAAATTTCAAACAGCTTTAATGGCAAATTGTGAATGAGATAAAGTAATAAGAGGGTGTGAGAAGTGGGTTTCAGTTTATGGTTTCTATGTCCCCCAAGAAAACACCTAAACACTATAAAATTGGATTTTACCTTAGTAACATCTATACTATAAAATATGCAATATACATTAAACTAATACCATCGAATAGGGGAGACTATAAAGTAGATAAATGCACATTTTGTAGTGAACAGGTGTCATGTGAACAGGCAAGTGCAATTAGAGAACATAATTAAATACTTGCTGTTGAAATTAGGAAATTAAAATTTATATAATATTAAAAGTTGAATTGTAATTTATGTTTTGGTGCCAAACTTATTTGTATACATTGATAATAAAGTATTTATTGTATTGAATGTAGCCCTGTAAAAGGTCATGACAATCACACGTGCACCTTGACCTATCTGTATGCATGGGGTTAGATCATATGTTTTACATAATTCTTTTTTCTTTTTTTAATACCATACAACATTTAAACATTTATACTGCCACCACTGTATGTACTTATGGGATTACTGATAAAGTAACATCTGACTATACATTTTAAACTACTGTGATTATATAGTGAGTAAATTATCAAGAATCACTGAATTGATACTTAACTACAAATACAGTATGTTTTGATATGCATTTTCTTTTTATAAAATGCAATATTGCTGCTAATAGTTTATCATCAAGAACAAATAATAAGTATTTATATTTTATGCTAAGATTTTGTTTTGTGCAGCAGAAAAGTCAAAAATACTACTGTACTAGTAATATCTGTAATTAAACAAAAATTATTAAGTACATTACTATCTATAATATAAAAAATTGGGGTTAACTCTCTTTGAAAACCTGAGAGCAAGAAAAAAGAAGATTGGGTAAGTACTTTATTTCTTGTTTTTCATATCTAATTTTTATTTATTATTATAAAAGTAACTAAAATCTAAAAATACACATCTTTTTAAGTTATTTAAGACGAGATTAGATAAAATAAGTAATAATAATATAATTTAAATAGTTCATGAGACACACACGTGAGCAGCTCATGGGTAATGTAATTCAATAGCGTAATGTGAGCTGCAAGTTCCCTGAGTGATTTACAACTTATAATAGCGGGATAGCAGTTAGACACAGTTCAAACGGCAATAAAACAATAAAATTTAATTATAAATAAATGTATATTGTTACAAACTTAGAGCTACTTAGGATAAACGAATGTAGTTTCATGTTACAATTTGAAGTCATATTAGAAAGAAAGGTTAATTTAGGTTTATTTAAATTTTTTTTTGGTGGTTATGAGTTCAGTCAAATAGGCCGATCCTGTTTTGAGATGGGGTAGAGAAGATAACATATAAACTATAATGATTTCGTGAAAAAAAACGTTTAAAATGCATTTAGGAGGTT